GCAGGATGCTCGGTGCTCTGAATGGAGCCTGACAAGGTCTGAACACTCCGGAAATACTCACAAAATGAATGGAAGCGTGGAAGCGGGCCAGTGAGGTGTTTCCAGCTGTCTTCCACGATATCTCATCGGCAGCTCCTCTGTGCCTGGTCCCGAGTGGAGCCCTGGCCATCTGAAAGGGACATACAATTTCTGCCTTGAGGAGCTGATGGGCAAGTTGGAGGAGACACACGCACGCATATACACACACACATATACACACACACATATATACATACAAGTGTGCGCTGACACGTGGCTGCCTAACGCTGAGTGCTTGGCTTCACAGCCATTGTGTTCTTTAATCCTCCCTATGGCCTCATATAGTAGGCTACTATTATTACCATTTTATAGGTGGAGAAACTTGAGGCACAGAGAAGTTAAGTAACTTGCTGAAAGTCACACAGCTGGTAGAATGGGGAAGTCAGGATTCAAACAGGGCCCCTCTGACGCCACAGGCAGCACATTTAACCACCATGCTCATTACCTGCCAGTGGGCGTGTATGTGTGTGCACTTGCAAGTGCGTGTGCACACGTGTATGTGTGTGTGAAAGATTCGTTTCTCTTCCCAGTGCTTTCGTGGTGTCACTGATGGTCAGGGTGGCGGTGAGTGAAGCGCCCTGATCGGAGATGTCCCACCCTTGCCTGGATCCCGTGGTGTCTCCAGAATCTAGCTACGAGCGGCTTAGGGACGATGGGGGAGGGAGGTGCTTTTCTCATCTTAAGGCCGTGTTTGCTCACTGTTTTTGCGGAAGTCGTTTGGTTATTTGGGCTGACCAGGGGTCTCGTGGACTCTCCCAGCCACTCCGTTACTGCTGCCACTGGTCCTGAACTGTCCGCAGCTAGACTCTTACTGCAGGAGTGGGTGTCCCCTGAAGACGTGACGACATGGGCTTTGCAAAGACTTGCGGGCCAGCAGTTTGGCATGAATTGGCTTGTCTGGTTGGTGCCGCTGCCACTTTGCCATTGGGGAGGGGAGGCACTGAGATGTGCAGGAGAGTGATGGGGAGCTCAGGAGGAGGCAGTCCTGGCAGGGATTCCCGGCACGGTGGCTGGGGCTGTGTGCATGGGTGTGTGTTGGGGGGGTTGTGTGAGGGTCATGAGTCAGGCCCGCCGGGAAGCTGTGAGGGAGCAGGGCCTTCCCCACCTGGCTCGGCCACCTGTCTGCCCAGCCGTCTGCTCCCCTCCAGCTGGGGCGCCTCCTCTGGCTATGGGGTGAGGTCAGGGGCTCCTTGTGCTTCTGAGGTCTGGAAAAGCAGCGTGTAGCCAAGTGGAATGGGCTGGACAACCTCACAGGATTGGAAGCAGATGGGAGGCTGCAGCAGCTGGGCGTCAGGCCTGACCCAGGCCGGCTCGACCCTCGCAGCGCCCCACACTGTGGGTGGGGTGGGGAGGGGGCCAAGAAAGACAGACAGGCTGACGGACGTGGAGGGAGAAACAGAGGAGAGGCCGAGAGAGAGCTGGCAGAGACACACTGCGGAGCAAGGAGAGAGAAGCAGAGATTGGCAGCCGGAGAGCGGCCTGCGCCCAAGGAGGCGTCAGCACGGCCCCCTGCCTGTCCCCTGCAGGCTCCAGCCCCCCACTGTCAGCCACCTCCTCTAGGCCCCAAGGGATAAGGCTGAGATTTTCTTAGAACCAAGGAGGTGGCAGCTGGGTGGATGGCTTGAGGACTTGCTGGTCCCATTTGCCAGTAAAGACGCTGAACCCTTGAGGGCCTTAGGGGCCTGCCTTGCTCTGCTGCGTCCTAGCAGTGCGACCGAGGGCCTCCATGTCCCCATCTGCAGAACAGAAGTGATCGCCACCCCCCAGGTCTGGATAACACAGCACATGCAAAGCAGTGTAACCCGGCCCAGACGAGGCCGCCCTCAATGTAGTGGCCCTGAGCACCAGTCTGCTGACTTCCGTCCCCAGGCCTAGGAGGATAGGGTGCCGAGGACGAAGTGGCCCCTTCTCTCAGGAGCCCCAGGTGGAGCTGTGCGGAGGTGGCAGTGGCACCAGCCGTAATTCGTGGCACAGAGAGATGGAGGAGGCGGCACTGGGAAGTGCCTGGGGACTTCAGAGGAGAAACATACCTCCCCCTGCCTGCAGTGGAGGTGGGTCTGGCGGGGTAAGCGGCTGGACTGCAGCTGGCCCTCCTTTTCCTGGCCTGGGGACACAGCAGGGACACAGCCCTGCCCTCCTGGAGCCTCCGCTGCCATGGGTGAGAGTAACCCTGAGCAAGGGTCTGCTGGAGGGACGAGGGGGTTGCTCCTCAGTGCTGGCCCTGGGCGCCCAGTCCCAGCTCTGCCTCCGGCACCTTCGCAGGGGAGGGCTCCTCAGGGTTACCCAATGGTTGTTTCTTGCTGCTAGGGCAGTTCTTCTGTATGTCCTTGGCTGACCCTGAGGTTTGAACATATCCCTTGGCCTCGGTCAGTGAGGGGTTTAGACAGCTGGAGGCACCCCATGCTCCCGACCTGGGCGGGCGGGGCAGGGCTGTAACATCGCAGGCAGCTGTCTGCACGCGGACGGCAGCCGGGAGCCCCGCCGTCCTGTTCACCCTTCTGGTGAGCAGGCTTCAGGGAACACAGTCTAATCTTTATCAGCGACAGTGGTTTCAGCTTTGCCCGGGCGTTCGACTAGAAGCTGCCCCAGGGCAGGGACTTTAACCCCAGTGTAGAGCACAGAGTAAGAGCTCAACCGATCTTTGTTGAGTAAATGAATTTTTCTGCCCGTTTATGGTCCCCAGGTGGACTCTTCCTGGCTCACAAGGGGCTCTGGCCATAACTTTGCAACTCTTAGACGCCTGGGACCTCGAGGGCCCTCCCAGCCCAGACACAGAGTGATCCTTGATTCACACCATGTTCCCACCCTCGGCAAACAGCCGCCAGCTCCAACTGTTCATACATTTCCTGCCTGTCACCCTTGGCGCCCCGGCCAGGCCAGCCGGAGGCGCTGGGGGTGGCTGGTCCTTACCTGCTTCCAGTTCCCTGGGAAGTTTGGAGGCCAGAAGCCCAGGCCTGAGCTTGTGCCCAGAATAACTTCAGCAGAGCCTGGCCCTGGGAGATGCGGAAGCAGATCTGCCAGATGCAAAGATGTATGGGCTGGAGTGTTAGAGAAAACACAAACACCAGCTTGTGGTGCAGTTTGCACAAGCTGAATTCACTCCCATGAAACGCGACACAGGTCTGCCTGAGCACAGGCAGGGTGTGTGGAACTCTCGGTGGGGAGATGGAATTGATTTAAATGTTTTCCTTCTGTTCCCTTGCTTGTATTTTCAAATTTTTCTATAATTAACATGTACTGCCTCCTCATTTACAAAAATGTTAACAGTTTTATTGAGATTCTAGTTTATCCATTGAAAGTGTGCAATTCAGTGGTTTTTAATATTTTCGCTAAAATGTGGCCATCACCACAGCCAATTTTAGAGCATTTTCATCAGCCCCCGAAGAAACCTCATACGCTTTCACTCACTTTCTACACCCCAGTCTCCCTCTCCCTCCCAATCTATAGATTTCCCTGTTTTGGACATTTCGTGTGAATGGGCTCATATAAACTGTGGGCTTTTGTGTCTAGCTCTTTTCAGCTAGCATACTGTTTTCAAGGTTCATCCATGTTCTGTTATATATTAATATTTCATTCCTTTTCATGGCTAAATAATATTCCATCACATGGATATACCACACTTTGGTTATTCATTCACCATGGACATGACTTAAGTAATTTAAAAAATTGTGTTTTTTTTTTTTAAAGAACTTGTCAAAAGCAGATTGGTCAAGATGACAGTTGGTTCAGTATGACTGTTTCTGTTTGCTTGTTTTGAGACTTCTCAGCCTATGGTGCTGTTTTATGTTTTCAAACACCAGCGAGGACCCAGCTCACATCATGGACCCAGCTCTTTGCAGGAACGTGAGTTGGTGCCTTCAGGTGCTTCCACTGTGTTTCAGGCCCTGCAGTGGGTGGGGCTCCCTTGTCCCATTGATTCTTTGCAACTGACCTAGAAGCTGGGTACTTTTACTGTGCTCGTTTTAAAGATGAGTAAACTGAGGCTCTGCGAGGTCAACCAGCCTGCCCAGGGCCCCACAGCCTCACTGACTTTGGGGCCAAGATGAACTCTAGTGATCAGCATTTAGAACCAAATATGAACCCCTCTTTCTGGCCCACATATTAGTGTACGGAGAAGTGAAACGTTAAACAATGCTTGATAGCGTGGGTCTTGAAAAATACTTCTCTCGTGACCTCCCTGCTTGTCTTTCAGATTTTAGTTTTAAAATGACATTTCCAATCTGACTACTCTCTATAGGACAGACCATTAGGAAAAAAAACCCTAAGGATTTCAATCCCACTTGACCTCTTTTTCTGCACATAGAAGGTTGTATCCAAATTGCTTAAATATAGAAAAACGTATAATTTGAAAATAGTGAAAAATGGTTAAGTAGGTAAAGTGGACACCATAGACTTAAAATGAACTTAAAAGGTAAATTAACTTATAGATAGAAATAATCGTTTTTTAAAATGCTCCCAAAGTGGGGAAATTACCCTGCAATGCACAGAAGTGACCAAGACAGGAAACTAGTCCACTTAAAAACAGAGACAAACTTGGTCAGCAGAGGAGGTATAATTAGAGATTTAAAAACTGGAAGTGAGCAAAAGCAGAAAGATGCAATATTGTTCCAGGGGTCACAACAATTACCACAATTCCCCTAAAGCATAGGCACCGTTACATTTGAAATAGGAAACATACCCCGTGGTACATAAACGCTATAGTAAATGAAATGCCTGTGACTGGAAGTGTTTATTCACAGGTTCAGCAAATATTTATCCAGATGCCACTGTGTGTCTGGACTGTTCTAAGCTCTGGGGGCTGGAGCAGCGAGCAGGGCAGCCCGCGTCCCTGCCCTCGTGGAGCTGACCTTCTGACCACAAGCGAGTGAACAGATAAAGCGATGATTTCTGTCCGTGATAACTCAGCCACCTGCCACACTGACCAAATCACCTTCATCGGACTCAGCGCCTCAGACCAGCTCAAAGGGGCCCCGGAGGCGTCACGTCAAGTCATTTTCAAAGGCGATGTAAGCGAGCAGCAGGACCTTGTTTAAAGGGCATCCTCCGTGCTACAGGGGTTCCTCAGGGTGAGAGCCTTCCTCAGCCATCCCCAGAGCCGTGGCCACCTTGGATCCTGCATCCACAGAACGCCAGAGCCGGAGGGGATGCGAGAGGCCCTCTCAAGCTGTGCGTCTCACATGGAGATGTAGGCTGTCGCCAGGGGTTACATGAGAAGGGGTGTGTGGTGTGGCTGTCACAGCGCTGAGTACGTCCAGCCCTCTCCCCCGTATTTGTAGGCGTGTTTGTAGGTGCACGCACACACACATTTACACCTACACACACCTCACGTCTACATACACACACATTCACACCTCCACACACCCACACCTACACACACACATACGCACACACGCACACCCTCACCCCGCTTCTTCTGAAGAGATGGCATCTGTAGGTTTCTCTCCTGTCTCTCAGCCACAGCTGATTGGTCTAGGGGACGAAATCTGACCGAGGCTGGACCAACTTACTGCCCTCGCTGGGCGTTTGGAGTTGGGATGATGCTGAGAGACGGGGATCCGTCGGTAGACAAACAGGAAAGAAGCAGAGCTGGGAAGTGGCTGAGCGATGCTGTGCAAATGCCTAGAGGGAAGGGCCACAGATTGCACCTCCAGAGGTTGCGAGCTTTCCCGAGACTTCCCCCGGCCTCTCTGAAATGCCCTTATGTAGCCTTGGATAAGCCTCTTTTTACTCTTGAAGTGATTGTCTACTCCTCACAGCGTGGTCACAATCACACAAAGGGTCGGGAAAACACTGGGTGAATAAAGCCACAGGAATTTCTTTACTGCAGGACTTTTCAGGGGCTTTACTATGTTAGTATACATAGTGACGTTCCAAAACGGGGCCAGGGTCTGTGCTGTCTCCCACACTCACGGGATATACCTCACCTGGCTGGTGTTCTGCAGAGGACCCTCTAGGGAGCTCTAGTCCATGCCCTAGTACTTGTATTCACTGTACAAGTGAAGGAGTTAAAGCACAGAGAGGGAGAGTGAGTTCCTCAAGGCCACACAGCTGGTTGATTGCAGGAAAGATCTTGGCACCTAAGTCCTCCCAGTGTTCTTCCCACATGCCCCAGCTGACATAAGTCTTCCTTGGATGGACGATGCATGTGCTGGGATTCTTGGACCAAGGTGGGTGGTGGGAATGCAGGTCCAATGTGGACACGAGAGAAAGGGTGGGGTTGAGAATTGAAGGCCAGGGCTTGGCAGGAGAAACCCCTGTCTCCTTTGCTCTTGGGTGGTAGCCACGGCTTCAGCAGGTCTGAGGGCTTGGGGCTGGGCCTGGCCACCTGGCTGCCTTCCCTGGACAGCCAGCAGGACGGCTCCAGCAGCCCGGCCTTCCGCGCCTTCCCCCAGACCACAGGCGGACCGAGCAAGGGAGGAAGCCCGGGCCAGTCCTCGGCAGGGCCCGCCCAGGCAGCCAGCGCCGGGATGACGCGGGCTGTAAATCACTCCGTGGACCACAGACCCAGTGCCATCCCCACGGGTTTCCTTTCCGCTTCTTAATCCTCCTCCTCAGACTCGGTAACAAAAAGCAGATTCCTGCTGGGGCCAGCCACGCACCACGGGCTTCGAGACTGTGAGCCTGGACTCCCCACATCAAGGTGCGCCATCCTCTCACTTTTCCTTTTCCCCTTCTTAGCTTCTGTTAGCTGGAGGACACGCCCTCCGCCTGGCCCGGCTCCCTCGCCCTCCCGGACCCCGCTTCCAGCCTTGCCCCAGCCTCGCACCTTGGCTGCCTGCCGAGCGGCCGCCCAGGCCTGAGGCTCACCAGGGCCTGTGGTTAGCAGCCCCTCCAGCCTCGTGGTTTGGCTGCAGCCCGGCTCCCCGAGCCTCCCTTTCAGCAGGAGCCGCCTCCGTGTGGTAGAGTAAACATTGCCGGTCTGGGTTCCAGTCCTCTCGCTGCCAGCTTGTAGCACTTTACCTCTGAGACGTGGACGGGAGAGAGCTCACTGGCACCTCGGAGGTGCCTGACAGATGTTTTGCTTCAAAAATAAGTACTTAAGCTGTTGGTTCAGGGTTGTTGCAAGAAGCCAAAGAGAAGTCTTTGGAACTGTGTTATTAGGCTCTTGCTGGGCCGGGCTGAGGGACGGCTCTGATGTTCTCGGTGGTCTCAGTGGACGTGGAGCCCTTGAAGAGCCTCCTCACCAGCTCTGACCTCCCCCAAAAGCTAGAGCTCTAGCTGCCCCCAGGACCTCGCCCCATCTCCTATCCCCTCCTGGTAGCAAGTCACCCTCCCTGGTCAGTTTTCTCATGTGCAACGCCAAGTTCAGCTGCCGGAGTGAAGTTTCCAAAGGCCAGGACTGCCAGGAACTTAAAGATGGGCTAGCCTAGTGTTTTCCAGTTGTGCCCATAGCACCGGGGTTCTCAGAAGTGTCCCAGGCTCCACGTTGGAGGGAATGCAATAGACTTTGGGTCCCCCTCTCTCTGTGGCCCCCGGACTCTCCTGATCCGAGTGGACCAGAACCGTGTTTGCCTGTTTCCTGTGTTAGAATTCAAAGGTCAGACTTCGTTTTGACTACAGTTGAAGAGGCTGTCATTTTATAGATGAGGACTGTCATTGTACAGAGAACATGAGGCCCAGCTGGCAGGTGGATGGGCTGGGCCTAGAGTCAGCCTCTTGGCTGCTGGAGTGAGATCTTGTCTGAGGGTGTAGGGAAAAGGGGCCGCGGACACCGTTCCCGTGGGAAGCAGGGCTGACTCGGACGTCCCCTCAGAGGAGGGACCTGGGCGATTGTGATATCAAGGCCAGGTGTCCCTCAGCTTCTTCTGCCCGCTACAGCCCTGCCCATTCCCCTCACCAAAGAATTTAGCAGTGGCTCTGAAATGCAGCGAAGTCAGGGGTGGAGTCAAGGGGTATTGCGGGCTCTGATGGCAGCCAGTCCTGGGTCCAAATGCAAACTCCATCCCTTACTGAACTTTTCAAGATGCAGTCCCTGTCTGGGCCATACGTGTCCCTCCCAAGGCAGCTGCGAGGATTAAGAAAGAGAAGATGTTGTGGGTGTGGCACCTGGTAAAGGTCGGCCTTCTGGAGTCAGGGCCAGTAGGGGCTGCTTCTGACGGCTGGTTGTTTCTTTCAGGAGTGACCAGCTACGGGCTAGTCCAAGGACGCTGTTGTGGGCCCTCTTTCCAGTCAAGCTTGAGGAGAAGGTGAGCTTACCAAGTCCAGCCTCGTCTTCCTCTCTCAGATGCCACCGGATGCTCAGACCACTGCCTCTCAGGACAGGAGCTTGCCTGCCCCCCCCCCCCGCCCCGTCTCCTCTCCCTCCCTCCGCAGCCACTCCACGGTGACTTTGCACTTTGCTGTCTGCCTGGTGAGGTGGGGAGAGCAAAGCCTTCTCCTCCCCTGGGCCTGAGGCCCACCGTCCGGCTGCAGAAATTCATTGCCAAAGATTCGACAGAGACACTGAACGAAATGGGGTGAGAAGACCCCGCAGTGAAAAGCCACACTGTTGCTCTGTGGCCTTTGCTCCTCCTGCTGCCCGGGTCCCATCTCATGCCAAAGATGAGTCGGCAATTCCACGAGGAACTCATGGAAGGGATGGATGTTTGGTGACCATTGGAAGCCCTTGACCCTCTGACCCTGAACTCTTTCTACACTGGGCCCTGAGCCGACTGGACCCAAGATAAGCCTTCTGGGGGCTGTGGGAGGGAGGCTGGGGGTGCCTGTGGGGCGTGGGATCTGAGATCCCGGTCCCTCTCTCCCTCCCACTGGCTGTCAGGCCTCTGACCCTGATTCTCCATGTTCCCTGGGCCCAGGCTCCTTCTTGGGCCCTGAGCATCATGGGAAGGGAGTGAGGGTAGGGGTGAGGGAGAAGCAATATTGACCATCTGTACCCCACCCCAGGGACTTGCCCCAAGGTGACCTGCCTAAGGGTCTTGGCTCCCCCACCGGCCTAGCCAGCCACTGCTTGCCAGGGGCCTACCGTTCTGGCTGGGCACACAAGATGGCGCCCTGCCCGGGGCCAGTGGTCTGTGACCGGTTGTGCCGGGGGGCAGAGGGGAGGAAGGGACCAGGGGAGTGGGCCAGTATGTGGGGAGGAGGGCATGTTCGGAGTCAAGGCCTATTCCTTCCTTGTGCTCAAAAGGCCAAAGCTGTTCACATCTGTGCTCAACCATCTGCTTCAAATTGAAGTAAAAGCCCCAACATGTAAAGAAAACCCTTGCTTGTGTTGACGGACTCTGTGGGTGACCAGGACTTTGGCTGGTCAGTTGGGGAGGGTTGTTGGGGAGGGAAGAGGTTGAGAGACCTTCAGGAAGCAGGCAGTGTGAGAATGAGTGTGTCTGTGTGTGTAAGGGGGTTGGGGTGGGGCCCTTGCTACAGCCTCGGCCTGAACTAGTGACCAGGAGGCCTGTCAGGAACACGTGAGGACCTCTCTGCTTCGTACCTCACTTACTCCATACCATGAGTTTATAAGGTAGGGAATGAATTTTTAATCCCATTGTACAGATGAGGAAACTGAGGCCCCAGGGAGACAGGGCCAGTCAGTGACAGAGCCACCTTCTCACCCCAAATCCTGTGCTCTTCACCCCCTTCCAGCCCCATAGTCCAGTTCCAGCCCAAAGTCTGTGTAGGCTTGACCTATCCCTTCCCCTCAGAGGGCCAAAGATGGGACCCACTGGGGATGGGGGAGCGGGTAATAAGAACTGGGAAAGGACTGTCAGGGTGGAGGGCTGTCAGGAGGGGCGGGGCTGCCCAAGGAGAGGGGAGGCGATGAGGGAAGGAGGCTGGGCTTTGCAGGGTGCACGCCTGTTCCGTGGTTCCGCCCAGCGGCGCCCTCTCCTGTCTGCTCCCCAGGCTCCAGGACTGGGGCTGAAGTGTCTGCCTGCAGAGCAGGCTATAAGGAGCCTCCTCCTCTTGTACCAGTGTTTCCAGGCGTGGTTCTTGCCAAGGAACTGAGCTGCACCGGCTGGTCCTGGGTCTGGGACAGAAGCAGGGGGCACAGGCTGCCGATGGCCCGCCTCAGAGCAACGGTGCCCTGGAAGCAGGCCAGGCAGAGTGGGCTTGGCGTGGGGGCTGAGAGGGGATGATTAGGAAAGGCAGTCACCCCAGGTCTCTAGGAACAGATCGCAGCCTCACTCAGGTGTCCCTCTGCACCGCTGAGTAACGCTGGTGGCAGTCCCCAGGGAAGCAGGAAACATGGACCAGCCAGCATCAAACGTGCTGACTTAGTAAGAGGACCCTTCCTGTTACTAAAGGATTGGGGGGGCACCCCATCCTGCCGGGGGAGCAGACCCATGGCTTTTCTACCCAGCAGCAACTCATGGTCTCTACTCCCCACCCCTCCCCTGCTCATCAGCTGCATCCCAGCTGGGTATGAGGAATAGGGAGATGGAGGCCACATGGTGCCTGTCTTCACAGAGCTCAGAATTCTGAACGGAAGCAAATAACTGTGATGCAGTCAGATGACTTGGTGTTGCTGGAAGCTTCAGAAAAGAAACACTGAACCCTCCCTGGGGAGGTATCATGAAAGGCTTTCCTAGAAAGGAGCCACGTGAGTTGGATCTTGAAGGATGAATAGAAGTTTTCTAAGCAGAGGAATGGGAGAAGAGCTTTCTATGCAGAGAAGTATCTAGTCCTGGCAAGACACTGGAATCACCTGAAGAGATTATTAAATATTGATATAAAGTGTTAATGCCAGAGTTCCATCTCCAGAGGTTCTGCCATATTGGTCTGGAGGGTGGTCTGGGCATTTGGGATTTTTAAAAGCGCCCAAAGTGAGTACAATGTGCAGGCAAGGTTGAGAGCTGCTGGTTTAAGTGGGCTCAGGTCTCTGACAAAAAGGTGATTTAGAATCCCTGCTATGGGATACGGGCTGTGCTAGAATTGTGGAGGGGTATATGTGTGTACAGACAGACACGCAAAGTGTTGTGATGCCCTCAGATGACTGTATGAATGTACACTCACAAGTATGTGTGTAGATGACTGATTAAAAGTCCATGCTTGTGGGGGAGGGTGTAGCTCAAATGGTAGAGTGCGTGCTTAGCAAGAATGAGGTCCCAGATTCAATCCCCAGTACCTCCATCAAAAAAACCCTAATAATAAATAAATAGACCTAATGGCCTCCCTCCCCAATTTTTAAAAATTAAATAAAGAAAGATACACATTAAAAAATCCTGTGCTTTTCCCGTTTTCCAGCTTCGCCTCCAGTGCAGCAGCTGGTGTTCTTGTGCGCACACACACACTCACACACACTCCTTGTGGGCACATGCACCGTGTACATTCCCAGGGAAGGGAAATCCATCTCACGTGGATGCAGATTTCATCAGCAGCCTTTTCAACAGTTTACATAAGCAGCCACGCAAGAAGGCCCTCCCCAAATAAAAATTATGAAGAGCCACCCCGTGGGCGTTTGAGAGGCCTGTCCTGGTCCAGCCGAGGCCGTGGTCACAGGGTCCCGGCAGATCTGTTTGCACGCACACGCCGTCCGTGCTCCGTTGTTTGTTCTGGGTCCTGGCCCTGCACCGGGGACGGCTTGGCAGCCAGCAGCGGCAGAGGGAGTGTGTCCACGTGGGAAGCCACGTGTGTACACACGTATCTGCATGCGTATCTGCTGCGTGCCACGTTCCCACAGCGCGTGCTTCCTGCTCTCCGAAGGACAAGACCACAAAAAAACGGCTCCGGGAATCGCAGATCTCCCCAGCTCAAAGCTGAGCCCTACAAGACCCTTTAAAAACCCCGTGCACATGGGCTGCACGCTGCTTCCTGGTTCTGGCCTCGGAACAACCCAGAAGAGAGGTGTAAATTCTGGGGAGGGGGTTCCACAAGTCTCTGGGCCCCTTTCTGGGCTCTCTGCATGGCCAGGGTCCTGGTGGATTCCGTCTCCCCACACTACTTCCTCCTGTCCCCATGGCCCACCACTCTGTCCTGGACCTCCTCCTTCCCCACCTCCTTCCTCACCGTGTCCTGTACTGTCCTGTTTCTTTTCTTGATTACCCTACTCACCATCTCCCCTTCCCCAAGCCAGTGAGGAGCCGGAGTGGGCAGGTCCAGGGGCTGGGAGCTGGATAGCAGAGCCGTGAGCAGGGCCTGCGTAGGGAGTGGAAGTACAGAGAGAGCCCCTTTGTATCCTGCGACACAGGGCAGAGACCTGGGCACAGCTAATCAGGTTGAGATGGGGCTGTGCTGTGGGGCAGCCAGGGCAGGCTCCCTACGGGGCTGGAGCAGGGCCTGCATCCACCTCCCTCCTTCCACACCGCTTCCTGGGCTACAAAATAGCCTGGACTTCTCAAAGCAAGACTCAGACCTCTCCAAGCATCTATCAGATCTAGGAGGACAGGGAGGCAGGGAGGGTGGCCCTGTCTGGATGGTGGGGTTGTTGGGGTTGGGGCGGCTGGCTTCACCCTTTGCCCCAGGAGCCTCACCTTCCCATGGGTCTCTGCTGGTCCCCCGTACCCTAGACAAACTATATCTGCCTCCCTGAAGACAGGCGCCTCAGGGAATGTGGATTTACAAACAACGACTTTGTTTCACAGCTATCTGGGCATGTGTCAAATATCCAGATGGTGCTATGAATTCTTAGAGGGCAAAGATTAGGTCAAATTCATCTCCAAATCCTCCAAAAGGCCTTGCAAAATGTATATATTGGTTTCTTTGTCGAATGAATGAATAAAAGATGAACGATATGGTAATTCACACATTTATTTTCTTCCTTCCACAAATAACTACCAAGCAGCTAATTTGTTCAAGACCCTAAGAGAGGAGGACACAGGCCTTTTCCAAGACCTCACAGCTGTTCAGAGGGAGAAGGTCCACAGCAGAGCAGAGCCCAGACTTGGGGCTTTTTGTTCTTTCTGTGGCTGAGCCTTTGAAAACTGCGCTCCTGCAAAGAGGAGAACTTACAGCACACAGTGTCTGGTGCCTAGTAGGCACTTCACTGAAGGTGTGTGGATGAATGAATGAATGCTGCCTCATCCCTTACTGCCCCTCCTCAGACATCACTAATCAATGGTGGCTCTTTTTCTCCCAGGGCCCTGAAGCTGCCTGAGTTTAGGACTATTAATCAATTGACAAGACATGCTGTCTTGGCCATCCTGGTCTTCTGGCCACCCTAAGTGATAGGTGGGAACACCCTCAGGCCAGCCTCCTGGGGCACCAACAGGATGATATGATTGAGGATATGTTAGGAAGTCACCTTCCTTATGCTCATGGGGCTGTGTGGTCGCCTCCTGGCTGTCTTCCCTGTCTTGAATCTGTTCCCTGCCCACCCTCCTCCACTACTGCTGATAGAGGTGTGTTTCGGAACTCCCTTCCCTCGGCCCATGGCCTCCAGGAAAAGTCCAGTTTCCTTAGCTGCCCATTGGACTTGTCATGGGTGGTCCCATCCTCTCCTCCAGTGTTTCCAGTATCTCTTCAGACTCAGTGGCCCCCGGTTTGGTCACTGAGGGATGCTGGCCAAATCCCTTCCCCCGCTGTTAACAGCCCCTCTTTCTCAGTCATGGCCCGGTTCCTTTTTCTCTGGCTGCCCAGGAAACAAGATTCTTTCTGGACACTCATGTCTGCTGCAAAGGAAGCAGGTCCTTTTAAATCTAACTTTCCCTCTGTGTCACATCCACCCAGGCCCGCTGGGCCCCTGGGGCAATCTAGTTCTTTCAGTCTCAGAACCTGGGCAGGCAGAGATGGCCTAAGTTTATGTCCTCCCATCCTAAGGGCTCGGCTTTCCTGTTCATATAAAACTAAGAACATCACCTCGCCCCAGCCTCAGTGGGAAGAATTCCCAGTGTTGCCCCAGATCTCTGAGATTCTCGCGGGACTTCCAGCCCCACGGCTGTCTCTGCTTTGCTCTAACTCTCTCTCTCTCAGTCACCTCCTGTCCCTTCTCTCTACCGTGCTTCAGCTCAAGGGAACACAGCCACACTCCCTTGATTTCCCCAAAACATCACTCACCCAAGGCGTTGTGTATTGAGAAATTATTTTTCTCTTTCTGGATGATTTAAAAAAATGTTTACACTCACAGAAAACCAAACAGGACCTTCCCTCTTTCTTCCTAATTTATTTAGCTGATTTCATGTATTTTTTGACAGGTTCATCATGTTTCCGGCAGTTATAAATATTTTCCCCTCTGGCTTCACTCCCTGACACTACATTTCTGGGCTGTGACTCACCGGAGTTGTCCCACAGCTGGGGCTTGAATCCAGTCTTTTTTCTTCAACTTAACAT